TGATCGCTCAATTTATGGGCCTCTCGTTCCTTGAAGGAATCGAGAGGGGATTTTGGTTGTGGCCCTAACTGTAGAAGGTTTGACCAAGAAAGCAAAGGGAGTGGAATACAAGTAGCAGTAGAAATACTGGTTTGTACTGGCCACTCGATGAAGGGTTTTGACGTTAAGTAATCAGGACTTAACACGTCAAGCTTTGGAAATTGCCATGAATTAGCGGACAGAAAATTTAGTGGACCCACCGTCAATTGACTTGATCAGTGGGAGATTTTTGTGAAGAAAGATTAATCTGTCAAAAGGATCGAATCTCGTCTCAACAAAATAACTCATGAGAATTAGTGAATTTGATAATAATAATGGAAAACATTCCAACCTTTAGAGTTTAAATGTGGATGTTTTAATTATCACTTTTGTAGTGATTGGGTTATCCCTAAGAATATCACCCGTGGTATTCTTTCGAGAACTTCCCGATACATGAATAATCCACCCCTAGCTTCCCTTGTGGAACTGGGTCCGACATCGTACTCAGTTGGGTGTCCGGGTTATCCTTAAGAATATCAGGCATAGTATTCTCCAGGAACTTTCCGTGAAAGAAAGGAAACAGTTTAGACTCATATACCTGTTGGAGTATGTGAGGAAGCAGTTTAACCTCATGCACTTGTTGGAGGATTGAGAAGCAGTTTATACTCGTATACTCTTTGGAGTGTTGTTTCGACTTAATTGAGCGATATAACGTCGGCTTCAACCAAGGTTTGGATGCTATTCTTAAGAGAAAAGCACTCCTTAGTAGGATGAACGACCCTCCTGTGGTATGCACAGTACTTTGGGTCCGTAGTGTTGTCAGCTTCCTCCTGATTTGTGATAGGTGGTAGCTTGATCTTGTTGCTTCCAAGGAGGGATTCGAAGATGGCTGGAACGTCTTTGTCCTTGAATGAGTACTCTTTTTTGAGTCTCGGGTCCGAAGTCTTTTGCTGTCTTCGGGATTGCTGTTGTGACGTTCGATTAGCACCAACAGCAGTTGCAGGTGCCTTACCCTTACCACGAGAGGCGAAGTTTGAGTTCAGAGGATTAGCCGTCAGTAGGTTCCTCTCGGCCTTCTTCCTTCGGAGGAAGCGTTCGGCTTGTTCACCGCGCACCTTCAAGTCTTTCCAAGTGTTAGACGGTGATGTTCCCATTGCCTCCAACACGTCCAATGCGAGGTTGTTGTGGCAAGTCTGGAGAATAAACTCCTCAGTGATCGGGTCCCGACAGTTCATCGCCTTGTTCCGGAACCTTTTGACGAAGGTGTCGACCAATTCCCCGTCTTTTTGTTTCTCATCGAGCAACGTTCCAATGGATATCTCGGTGTCGTCGTCGAAGAAATTAGCGAGGAACTTAGTTTCCATGTCGTCCCAGCTATTCACGCTTCCTGGCTTGAGGCGGCGATACCAATCGAAGGCGGCTCCACGAAGAGTGCCAACGAAGGACCGTACCATCAGAGGCTCATTACCAGAGATGACCCCTAGGTGTGATTTGAAGTAAATCAAATGCTGAGTGGGTGAACCTTTCCCATCAAACGGCGTGAAGTTAATTAGGCTGAACTTCGCTGGGTAGGGGATTGATTCTCATTCTCTTGGGTATGGACAAGGAATGCTCGTCTTCTTCATCTCTTGAGCGGAAATCAACGTATTGATTTTGCTCTCGAGGTTTTTAATCTTCAAGCTTTCACCTGAGTCTTCGTTGGCATTCTCGCTACCACCCCATGCATTGATGGGAGGATTATTGGCATTATGAGTCTCATTCGGACCTATGTCCTCATCTTCAAGATCAATCTGATTACGACGACTTGGCTCGCCTTGCTGATTTGTCAGCGCTCGGATTTGCTGGTCATGCATTTCTCTCATACTCTGCATGGCCATCTGCATTTCGAGCTTGAAGCTCTCTTGCTGTGAGCATCTTGGCCACTTGTTCCGCGCTTATCATAAATGACTCGTGGGGTTGTCCCTCGCTGGATACTGTATTGTCTGATACGACAGCAGAGCAGGAATCTGATTCTTCATCTTCTGACGGTAATCTTGTCCGAACCCTACAATAAGTTCCTCGTATGATGGCTCCGGACTGCAGACGGGTCATCCGCCGGGGTACTTCCAGAATCGACTCGGGATTATCCTGTGTCAACGTCCCTTTGCTGGTCATATTGGTGGTGGCCCTCGGGAATTCTCCATCCTCGACTACCCTTCTTCTTTGTCGGAACGCCTAGGGCTTGGTTTTGGCGTTTCGGTACTGAGCCTTTCGAAAACCGAAATTCTTTCGGGGACTGTCTTAATGCAGTTGCACTCAGACAATACTGCCCAAATGAGTTTGGAACAGGGGCACTGAGTTTCTAGTCCTCGAGGACTCCTCTTCCTGGTTTTCCTCATACCACCAACACGATAGTACAACTCGTTGGCTTGAAGGTCGGAGTAACTTATCGTGTGTTGGAACGACTTCTCAGGTATAACGTTGTCATCTTCAGACGACAACGTTTCCCTCTGAGGGCGAACTGTCTTCTTTGGGCTTTCAAGAGTCACGCGCCTCGAAACATGCCTTCTTGGGCGTGAATTCTCAGCGGGCTCCTGGACTTCAATGCGCAAAGTGGCGCACGCAGCTGCCTTGAATTCGTTGTCATGTTGAAGGTGACGGCGACCCCCAGCATGTTGAGTCGTTCGGAGCTTCTTCATCGGGCCCAAACGTTCTTGAACTGGAGCTTTGCTTTTTTCATCGGGAAATGGACCGAGGCGCTCCAAAACTGACTTCTTTCTTCGGGATGATTCTGCGTGATCTCCCGGAGTATCCATGAGAATTATCAGCGATTTGGAGTGGTTCGCCGGAGATTGAGCTTTTGCTTAAGGCTGCAAAGGTTGCTCCTTAGCCTGAATCGCCGCTTCAGACTTTGGCCTCCAAACTTGGCGGGTTAGTGGCGGGGTTTTTTTTCCCTCCTTCTGTAATCTCCTGCGGGCTTCCTGGACTTGAGCCCGTGCTTGCGCTGACAGTCGCGCGGGCGCTTGCGAATTGCGCTCTTCGAGTGTCGAACGATTCCGGTTCTGACCACGGATTGCATTGTCGTTGCGTTGGCGGGCTTGGATGGAGCTGCCATTCATCTGGTTGTTTGAGGTTGTTTGCCTCTCAGCTGTCTTCAAGATCCGCGTTATAGGGGATTCCTATCGGTGGATTCGGCATCGCCTTTCGCGAGTTTCTTTTGGCCAAAGCAGTTGGCGTCGCCTCTGACTGGGCCTCTGCTGAAAGAGTCACGGGAGGAAATTGCGGGATAGCAGGCTTAACCTGGTTGGAGGTTGGTGGAGCCTCACCTGATGCAACCATGGCATCAATCGGGGTGAGATATTCGTTGGTATTCTCAACTTCTTCATACTAACGGATTTTTCTCCTGGAGGAGAATTTCTTGGACTTGCGGGGGGAGGTGGATCCAGACGAGGATGACATATACTCCTCGAAATTTTGTTGGTCGAATTCATACTCGACCTCCTCCTCGACCGGGATTGAGATCCGCGGCTGCGACGCGACGATCTCGGCAGCGAGATCGGTGGCTCCCACTGTGGTCACCAGATTGTTCGCGGGAAAAATTGTTTTCTTCATTGATGATTCCATTGATTACTTTGTTAACAATTTATCGGTTATAAAGATCCGGTCTTTTTATAAGATCCGGTTACAACAAAATCAAAAGAAAAGAAAATTACAACTTTCCTTATTTGTCGAACGAATCGCGAGATCCTGTTTTGCGGTCTCTCGCTTTTGTGGGTTCTTCACCTGCGCCGGGGTTAATCCGTGGACCACCACGCGATCTTGATCCGGTCGGATCTACACGGTATAGCGGGTGTTATCTCACGAAGGAAATAACAGCCGAGGGGATTATTTCATCAAGGAAATAATAGCCCGTAGTTATCGAAATCGACTAAGCGAAATCGAGACTCTTCTCGGGATCAAAGGCTAAGCTTTGATTCGGAGGGAAACCGTGTAGATCTCAGATCTGATCTCTCTCGAACTCCTGCCTTATTTGGCGTAGATGATCGTCAAGAACCAGATCTGGAAGTTGAGTCTTCAAAGCTCCGAAAGTTCAAGTCCAAATCTCAATCCGGCAGAGTTTCGGCTCCAAAATTCCAACCCTCTACAAATGAACCATGCCTCTCTATTTATAGGCACTCTTCACTATGCCCTGGCACAGTTGGCCGGCCACCATGGGGTGGCTCGGCCACCGAGCCACCATGGGGTGGCTCGGCCACCCCATGGGGTGGCTCGGCCACCCCATGGGGTGGCTCGGCCACCCCATGGGGTGGCTCGGCCACCCCATGGGGTGGCTCGGCCACCCCATGGGGTGGCTCGGCCACCCCATGGATCCTGATTTGGCAGTAAATCCGCTTCGGTGTTTGAGTTCGAATCCGTCCCACAGTTGGATGACTCGTTGACTCACCGAACCGTTAACTTGATTCCGCACGCGAGTGGATGTATTCCGTTGTTCGCGTGCGGTTCGTTAGCCTCGTAGCCTCGTTAATCTGCTTCGTCGCATCTCACTTAGCTTCGATGTTGCGGTCTAACGATTACGCTTGGATACATCGCCCGATTGGTCGTTGATATAATAGAAGAAGAAGAAGTCGCTATCCATATCAACAAATTAGCTGTTGGAAAAAGTATCATATAATAAATCAACATTTGAGCATGACATTGCCAAACACTTTCTTAGGGCGAGTTAATTTGGTATTGCAAAAGCTTATAATAAGTTATTTATATAAACTGTTTGCTAACCATATATCAAAAGTTGCTCTCAAAATCAGTTAAGATGTGTGGTAAAAATGCTCTTAAAGGTGATTATAAGAGAAAATGACAACAATAGACATAATTTTAGCTTCATGTTTATTGATAGCAGAAAATAAGGGCAAAATATAAATGATATATATGACGTACAAATTATAATTAAAAGAAGTTGCTTTTAAAAACATGTTGTTTCTAAAAAACTCATTTAAAAGCAAAAATAATTTCAATAAGCATACACATTTTATTTATTACCAAACATCATCATTAACTACTACTTAAGAAGATAACGAAAGAAACTCACCACCATTAATAAACCACTAACTATACGATCACTGCGGTTCCTGCCTTATTACAAATTAAAACAATTTGGGCCGGTCCAGTGCTCCGACCCCATTGGCATAGTACAACTCCTACGACTTCATGAGCCTTTTCAGTTACATCGAGCCGTTTCCTCGGAATCGCCCATAACGGTTCGGCCCGCGGCATAGTGAATCCGTAAACTTCTTTCATATCCAAATCCGACCCGCCTTTAGGAAGATCCCAGTCAAAACAGTGGATCATCTGAGCTAAGATCAACGGGTACACAACCAAAGCAAGTTGCATACCGGCACACATTCTTCGACCCGATCCAAACGAAAGCAGTCGGAGACCGTTGTCCCTGTAGTCGATGTCACTACTGACGAACCTTTCTGGTATGAACTCCTCTGCGTTATCCCACACTTTAGGGTCTCTGCCTATCGACCACAGGCTGATCATCACGTTGGAGCGCTTCGGTATGAGATACCCGTTGACGACGCATTCTTGTTTACCGTGGTGGAAGATGAATGCATTGAGAGGGTGGAGCCTGAGGGTTTCCTTCACGATCATGCTCAAGTACTCGAGTTTCGGTAAGTCGGGCTCTTCAACTTTCCGGTGGAGGCCCACGACTGCTTCTAGCTCTTGTTGGGCCTTCTTCATGATCCGTGGATGCTTGATGAGCTCCGAAAGGGCCCATTCGATTGGAGTGCGCAGTGTGTCCATTGAAGCCTCGAGCATGTCCTTAAATGAAACAAAATCACTAAGAGGGTTGATATATTTACGAAGCAATGGAAATTAACTTGGTACGTTATATAATTTGGACGAACTTCACGCATATTATGTACTTATCATGGAGTTTGTAGGGGCCTATGAATGGAGATGCACTACGCAAGTCTGTTCAAATCAAAGTTGATTTTAAACATTCACCCATAATTAAACTATAGGTGCAGACATATTTAATAATATATGTATTTAATAGTTTTTCTAATCTGAGATTTAACTCCATTTCATATATTCGGTAGACAAACTTCACGCATTGGTGCGAATGAATGCCGTAAAGTAATACCTCTTCTAAGTAGAGACAGAACTGGATCTAGAAAAGCAACTTTGGAGGTTGGTATAGTAAGCGGGGACTGATCTGCATGAGGGGCCTTTGGTGTGTGATCAACCACATCACCAGTAATGATTCTTAGGGATATGATACTTATAGTATTCATATCCATTCACCAATGGGATATGATACTTATTGTATATATTCATATCCATTCACAAAGCATGAATATAAATATAAATATTGATTTGTCTTGATAAAGAAAATTCATATTTATACTTACTAAAATCGGCTATGGATACATACATGCATAATATTTTAAAAATATAATAATGAAGATGTTTGTCCACTTACAAAATAGTTGGAGCAAATTGGGGCGAAGTGGGATAATTGTTCCAATAAAACAATTTAATACCTTTGGAATATTTTGAGTGGTGTAAAGTGAAACAATTTAGGATAATGAGAGACAAGCTTTGATTTGACAATTCATGTGAAATAATTGATGATGTGGCACCTTAGTAAAGTACAATATTTATCTATCAATTAAATCTAAATTAATTTACCTAATTGGTTTAGTATATTATTTGGTATGATATTATAATATTGATGTAGAACACAGGCTACATTTTTTTAAGCGGGACAATGGCAAGCCCAAACGCGGTCCCGGTCGAGGAAAATAGCTTGCTGTGAAGAACGAGTCATAACATTCAAACCATAAGTCGGAATTGGACGAATTATATATAAAAATCATGTATTTTTTCGAGACGGGGCCGACCAAACCTATCAAAGTTAGGTTAGCCTCCATCCGTTTTGCCAAATTCCCTCCGGTTTGAGAGATATCAGTGTTTTTGTCAGTTTTTTACTATTTTTAGTAATATTTTAAGAGTCTGTTTTGATTAGGAAACAAATTCGGTTTGATCTTAGATTTGATCGATTGACTTCCCTAATCTTAAGAAGTCTTTTAGGAAGAGTTTTGTTATTTCTATTTTTGGTAAAACTTGAGTCATAGTAGGAGTCTTGTTTCTTTTCTATTTAAGAAGAGTCTTGTAAGCCCTAGATGCAGGGCCGGCCCCGAGCTTTGGGTTGCCCTAGCCCAATCCAATTTTGGTTGCCCCTTATATTAAAATTTTGGTACGAATAATAACGATAAAAATGAATACATATAATACAAGTTAGCGTTCTATATTGGGCTCAAACTGATAATATTCTCATGCAAAATCAATATTCATATAAGAAGAGATTACATTTGTGCTACAATTCCCATCAAAGAAAAATACTTCTCCTTGAATTTTTTGAAGCGAATTCTTCAATTAAGTCATCATACTCAAGTTTCTCTAAGTATTCATTTTCAATTGATATCATTGCCAATCCATTCAATCGTTCCTGTGACATGGTAGTGCGAAGATAACTTTTTATTAATTTCAACTTGGAAAAACTTCTCTCTGCCGAGGCAACCGTAACTGGGATAGTTAACAAAATCCGATAAGCAACCCATGCACATTGAAAGCCACCATCATCCCAATAAGATCTTATGAAGTCAAGGATGTCTATTGATTTAGTCACTTCCTTCGGCAACATTGTTTGCAAAGCTCGTAGGTCATTGAATAAATCTTTCCCATGTATATCACATTGTTGGTTGTGTTCCAAGTATCTTTGTAATTTAATGCAATGTTCCATTAATTTTTCTTCACCAATACTCATGAACTTTGCATTAAACAAAAAACCAAAGATTTCTTCATAGAGCTCGGATTGTTCAAAACGATCTTTGAGTGATGTAAGAGCTTGATCAATAATGTGGAGGAAATAGGAAACTCTAAAATTATCCTCCGGTGATTGACTACCTTCAACATTCGCTTCCACATCCTCATCAAAATGCTTCTTTCTACGAACCACTCTTTTTATCGGAAATGTCGGATCAATACCAACATCATTAGCAAGTTCATTGGCTTCTTGTGGACAGACCCCTTATCTTCAAGAAAAGCATCACCCATAAAATTGACATGTTTAAAATTGAAAATTTTCAAGGGTTACTTACGGACAGACCCCTTATCTTCCCAATTGCCTATTTTCATGATCCCCTTGCTAGCCCCCCACCCAAAAAAACACAATAACCAGGTGTCAAAAAAATCTACAGTTAATCTAGATTTTGCTCAATTTGCTTGGTCTACCGACTTCCTGTCAAACTTAAATTATCACTTTTAATGGTTGAACACATATTAATTTCAAAACAAGGAATTCCAACATATATATTATTCTAAAAACTATGCATGTCTTGAGGTGAATGAAATTGGATCACATGCTAAATCCACTTGTGCCCGCGGATGTTCATAGAAAGAAATTCAGAACAGAAGATAGAATATGTTATTCCCATATAGGATCAATGCCTAATTAGCAATATCATTATTATTAAAACAAACCCTAATTCATTCCAAAACATCATAACCCCTAATTTAATTCTTCAACTAAGATAGTAAGATTCAACCAAGATTACCCCTAATTTAATTCTTCAACAACTAAGATTCAACCAAGATTCAACCAAGATTCAAAATCAAAATCTTAATTTCATTGCAAAACATTAAACATAAAAACGCTAAATTTCTGTCCAAAAAAACCCTAAATTTATTTAGTTAAAAAATTTTACCTGATGGGGTGAAGGATGAGTCTGATGGGGTGAAGCTTGAAGACGGGTCGTCGGAGGCTCGCCGGCTCGGGAAGGAGGACTGGAGGTGGTGGAGAGGAGGGTTTTCAATCTTTCTTATTTTTTCTTATTTTTTTTGTGAGCGGGATCTGCAGGACAGAGGAAATTGGGAGTTGGCCAGTTGAGTAGGGTCATTACTAGAGTTTTTTTACAAATACAACCCCTAAATTTTTTTGCATAAAGACCCTCTTACATAGTCTACTTCAAAAATCAAATATAAATACAGTTTGAGGGGTGTAGGAGCGTTCGGGATGGGTTGCCCCCCGGCCCTGGGTTGCCCCAGCCCCGGGGCTTGGTGGGCTTACCCCAGGGCCGGCCCTGCCTAGATGGATAACTTTTGATCAATAAAATTTCTCTTTACGATATTTTCTTTGTGGATTCAAAAATTGTTCTTTATGGATTCGGAGAACGCCCTTGGTGGATTCCGAGGCTATCACTTTCGCACTGCGTCAAATGTAATACATTATTTTACTTTATACTAAAATATATTATATTATATTCTAATTACTAAATAATTATAACTATATTTAATATTATTAATTAATATAATATAATATATTACAGTAATATGATATATTATATAATAATTGATATAATATACAAATATTATATTTAATATAATATTTCAATAATATAATATTTAATCAAATATTATAATATTTTGTTTAATTCGATATAATATTATTTTAAAAATTATATTATTATTAAAAATATAATAATTTATTTTATTTTATGATAATTACTATAATTTAAATAGCAATAATTGATGTCATGGCTTTTCCTTATTAAAAATATACATATTTATAATAACAATATACTATTAATTATGTTTTCAATATTATTAATTAAAAAATATTATTATATATTATATTAATTAATTTTACATATATTACCATACTTTAATATATAGTAGATTATTATAATTTTTATTACAGTAATACAACATTATTTAATATTATAACTACCAAACAATATATTTAAGAGTATTAATTAATATAATAAAGTATAATAAAAAGTAGTAATTATTATATAATAATTATATTATAATATATTAATATATTTTAAATATATAAACACTATATTATAATATAATATTTTATATTATAAAAATACTACAATAATATTTTTATTCTAACTAATAAAATATATATTAAATAATATAAAGTAATATTATAATAATATAATACTAATATTGTAATATATGAAATATTATTAACCAATATGTAATAACGATATATAATAATGTTATATTAGATAATATTATATAATATTTTATTATCTTACATTATAATATACTTTTATAATATAATATAATTAAGATATATTATATATCATAATACAATTAACATATATTAGATATTTAATAAATTAGTTCTTCAAAATTATCTCACTTTCCTCATGATTGTCCCAAAGTTAAGAATGAGTAATTTTTGGAGGTTGGGATAAATTTTTTTTTATAAAAGTGAGTTAATTTTGTGAAAAGAGGGGGTAATTGTTTCAATCTCATTGTCCCAATGAATAACACCTTGAAGTGAAATACTAATCTCATTATCCCAATGAATAACACCATAAAGTAAAGTCCTAAAAAAATTATCCCACTTACACCAAAATTACACCAACCAATAACCCCACTGAGGGTATTTGGAATTTTGGAGGAGCTTATTTGTAGACTCTTTTATCTATGATAGCTTTTGATGGTTTCTTTGGCTATTATGATACAAGTTGTGTAACGATTACTTGGTTAGACTAGTAATTTGTTGGTCAATCCTAGCTTATTTAAGTGATCTTATAAGCAAGTTTTTTTTTTCAAAATTAGGGTATACCATCTTTTTAAAATGAGACTTACAAGCTAACGTATTTTAAAATAGACATACATGAATAAACAAACTTCAAAGCTATTTTAACCCAAAAAGAAAAATATAGAAAGAGAAAAAAAAGAAAGAAAGAAAGAAAGAAAAGCTTTCCCAGACACCTCCAATATCTTTTTGGACAATATATATTAAGATAAAAAAATTGAAGATAGAGACATCGAAAAAAAAAGCCCTAGAATACAAAAATTAATTAAGCTCCAAATCCTAATTGCTAACTGAACTATTAACTTCCTCCCTTTTACTCCTTAGCGATTTTAGTCCCTATATATCCTCTATGTATTGCATTCGTCTCTTTCTTACCCAATTGTTCATTCATTCCGTCTTGCCTCTAAACTACTAAAATGGTCTCTATTTGTCCGTTAAACTATTAGTTTAAGTACATAATAAATTATTACTTTTTATTTATTAATTTGATGGTGTTTAAAATGAATTAGAGAATAAATACTAAAAATAGTTTAATGGATAAGTATGGAAAAAAATTATAGTTAAATAATCTCTGTTTTAATTAATAATAGTGATCTCTTTAGTTTTTTTTTTTTTTTGGCTGACAGGCACGATTCAAATTCCTTTTAACTAATTTCATACTTACTAGAACAATGGCCTTGACGGTAGTCCGATCAATCCTCACCCCATCAACCTCCTCTCCACTCTCCATCAACTCCAACATCACATCCACAAAATCCTTCACCTCCCCTTCCCTCTTCTTCCCCTCCTTCAAATGCTCATCAATCACCCTCTCCAGCATCTCATCAAACTCCGCATGCACCTTCCTCATCCTCTTCCTCAACCCCTGCACGTCAAAAACCCTAAGCGCCGGCAAGAAATCAGCAGCGTTGAACGCTCCGAACAAACTCATGAGCTCCTTGGTATTCTCCATAAACCTCCTCCCTTCCTCTGTCCCGGCCTCAAACTTCCTCCCCATAATCGTCCGGGTCACGATACCACATATCACCTCCTTCACTGCCGACGAAACGCTCACCCCGGAGCCAGACTTGGCGGCGCACGCCAGCGTTCCTACGAAAAGCGCGACTTCTTCAGCACGTACCGGCCGAAAGGCCAAGATCTTGGGCGCGGAGAGGAGGTGGGTGACGCAGAGCTTGCGAATGTGGCGCCAGTAGTCGCCGTAGTCGGCGAAGGCGAACGCCGCCTGTGGCGCGTAGGAGAGGGAGGCGGAAGACCTCCAAAGGGGGGCGTTGGCGAAGGTGTGTCGTGGGATTTGAGGAAATGCTCGCGCAGTGGAGGAGTCGGAGACCACGATGGTGGGGACGGAGCCGATGCGGAGGTGCATGAGGGGGCGTGCACGGCGGCGAGGGAGTGGAAGGTGCGGTGGAGGGCGGGCCGAGGCGCGGGATGCAGCCGAGGATCGGAGCCCGGTGGGGCCCGGAGGGAGCGGCGGGGAGTACGCAGCGGCGGAGGGAGAGATAGGCTCCGGAGAGGAAGGAGGGAGAGGAGGAGATAGAGGGAGGGAGACATTTTAGTATTTAGGAGAGTCCAAGGTTGTCAGGGCGAAGGAAATAATATTTGTTTAAGGTGGTCAAGCGGTGTATATATATACATACTGTGTGCTGTAGTTAATGACTTCGATGTAGTGAGTTAATAGCTTGTTTGTTTGTGGGGAAATGAAAGGATTTAAAATGAGGACAAGAGGGATCATGTGAATCTTAGCATTTTGTGGTCCGCGGATATAAATCTAGAATTCGGACCCTTTTACTAAATTTTAGGCCACGTCCTTTTTTTTTTTTTTTAAACCTGGTATTGCAAGGATGGCACGCAAAGTTTGATCCATTTGAGACCAAACCGGAATCCACTATTATCTGGTTTAAACTACCTCAGAAATTAGGGCCACCGTTCGTAAAATTTATGAAAAATGTCAGCTGATCTGTAGACATGGACTAGGGATGGCAAAATGGACCCAAAACCAATTGCCCATCCATGCACGCCCGTTAAATGAACCATCCAAACACACCCATTTAGTTAAATGGACCATAAATGGGTGGGTATAGTTTCTATTAAAGATAAATTGGTCATTAATGGGCGGGTTATTACCCACCCATTTACCCGTTTAGATGGATATTGTTTTAAAAACACCCTCAACACTTCAACAATTATAAAACTTATTTTTAAAAGTTAAAAATTATAGAAAACACTTAAAATGACTAACAACCCCTTAAAATTTTGAGATTTGCAAAAAACACCCTCAAAGGTTAAAATATTATAAAAACACCCTCAAGAGTTAAAAATTATAAAAAAACTATCAATATTTTCTAACCTCACAGATGACACATGAAATTCAAAAATTACCAATAGCCCATTGAAATTTTATAATTTGCAAAAAATACCCTTAAAAGTTATAGAAAATGAGAAAACCACCCTCAAGACTTTAAAATTACCAAACAATTTTAGAGTTTAATAAACTTGCAAATGACATATGAAATCTAAAAAATTTCAATAGTCCCCTATAAATTTAAAATTTGCAATTAACACCCTCAAAGTTTTAAATTTTTAGAAAAACACCCTCCATAGTTTAGAATTACAAAACCATCCTGAAATTTCAAAACCTACAAATGACACATGAAATCCAAAAATTACTAGCAGCCCCCTATAAATTTATAATTTACAAAAAATACCCTCAAAGTTTAAAAATTGTAAAAAACACCCTCAAGAGTTCAAAACTACAAAACAATCTTAGAATTTTCTAAACTTGCAAATGACACATGAAATCTAAAAAATTTTGGTAGTCCCCTATAAATATCAAATTTGCAAGTAACACCCTCAAACTTTTAAAAATTACAAAAAACACCCTTAAGGATATATAAATATAAAAAGTAGGCGCTCACAATTCTTCGTCGGCAGGAGATATATGCATGTGCGGCCAAGTGTAATTTATAAAAAAATTAAGAACAAACATGGAAAAAATAATAGACTTTAACCAACAACAAATATGAAGAAATGAACAATTACACTCATAGCTCATGGATTTTGAACAAAGGAAAGAAAAACACAATTTCTCTCAAAGCAGTTCATGCAAGGCTAAGGAGGTGCATGATTTTTAAGATCCTCGGAGTGGGACGTGATATTTTTACCACATTTTGTTGACAAATTTCGACGGCAAAAAGATTTAGTTAGGATTTTTTTATGGAATGTGTGGTGTGTGAGTTTTTAGAGCCAAATTTAGTTAGGATGTTTTTATCAAATAGAGCTGATAGGTAGTGTGGTTTTGTAAACCGTGTAAGGTGGGGTTTTCTGAAGATATTTTTGTCATTTCTTTGCTCTATCCTAATTTGATCCTAAGATGAAGAAGAACTGAATTAAATGTTGAGGGTACTCCGGTATTCTGAAAATTTTGACACAAGACCAAAGTAAGGGCTTTTTTAAATAACCGAGCAGGCAGTAGACTAGACTTGTTACGAGTCCATCTCTTCTTTTGCTCAGCCCCGTCATCATTTGCTTCTTTTGCTCACAATCCTGTCCTAATTTTTTCAAGTAGTCGATTCAATTGAGAAAGAAATGTTTACAGAAAACCCCCTGAAAGTTTGTAGAAAACCCCCTAAAAGTTTGCAAAAAACCCCCTAAAAGTTTACAGAAAACCCCCTGAAAGTTTATAGAAAACCCCCTGAAAGTTTACATAAAACCCCAAAAAGTTTGTAGAAAATCCCCTAAAAATTTGCAGAAAAAGCCCTGAAAGTTTACAGAAAACCCCCTAAAAGTTTGCAGAAAACCCCCTAAAAATTTACATAAAACCCCTAAAAGTTTGTAGAAAACCCCCCTGAAAGTTTGCAGAAAAATCCCTAAAAGTTTACAGAAAACCTCCTGAAAGTTTGCAGAAAACCCCCTGAAAGTTTACAGAAAACCCCCTGAAAGTTTGCAAAACCCCCCCTAAAAGTTTACAGGAAACCCCCTGAAAGTTTACAAAAACCACCCAGAAAGTTCACAGAAAACCCCTGAAAGTTTGCAAAAACCCCCCTGGAAGTTTACAGAAAACCCCTTGAAAGTTTGTAGAAAACCCCCTGAAAGTTTACAGAAAACCCCTTGAAAGTTTGCCAAAAACCCCTAAAAGTTTACAAGTAGACCCCTGAAACTTACATATATATAGAAGCATCATAATCATAACTAAATGGGTTATTGGGTCACCCATGAACCACACATTTAGTAAATTGGTGGTTGAGAAGTGACCCATTTAGCAAATGCTAAATGGGTCATAAATGGTTAAGTGATCATAAATGTGCCCACCCATTTATGACCCAACCAAGACCCAACCAAAATCACCCATTTGACATCCCTAACATGGACCCAGATTTTTTTTTAAAAGCAGAGAGAGACCTATTAGAACAAGAATACTATAAATGCAAGATATGGGAGGGCTGGGGAATTGCCGAATTGCTTCTCATCTCAAATTGAGATGATTACATGCACTAATGAAAATCATAAATTTCATACATAATAGGTATATGCAAACTACGTACTTGATTGAATAAATCCTACTCCATCTATTTTGGGTCGAGGGCTCATTCCCCTTCTTTAAACTCCAATAAATGGCTATGTTA